GCTACTCTCTGCACATGTTTTTCGTGTGCAGATCCAGGTGCACCTTATCAGCCGTACTATCAGTGAGCCGGGACAGCTTTGGAGACTTCAAGGTATATCTGCCGCGTCCGCGGACCTCGGAGTCCCCTTCTACTCTTTCTCATGTCCATTATTTTCTGTATCTTCCTTGTTAGATTCTGATGTATAGAGACACTAGACTTTTCCTTCTGTAGTATGTGATTCACGATGTTCCAGGTTTTGGGGATTGTTGTGTATTTTTAAATAGTTGGTTAAATTTTTATTTTTATTTCATTATTCCGCAAAGTGTTAGGCTTACCTAGTTGTAGAGACTAGGTGTCGTCACGACGTCACACGGAGGAGAAATTGGGTCGTTACAGAACCATGTCGATGACGAAGCTTCTAGTAGTGAAGATGGAAATTATAGAATACAAAACACTCATTGAATGGTGTGTATTGCAAAACAAAGTCTTGAACTTGTGAATATTTAGTTGGGAACAACTATGAATGATGATTGTATTGTTGATATTATTTTGTCATTGAACATTTGCATAGTTGTTGTTATGGTTGGCGTTGTTGTTATTAGCATTGTGGTTGTGGTTGTGGTTGTTATTAGCATTGTTGTTGGTTAATTGTTGTTGTTGTTGTGGTTGTTGTTGGTTAATTATTGTTGTTGTTGTTGGTTAATTGTTGTTGTTGTTGGTTAATTATGGTTGAATGGAAACAATAAAATGCTGCCATTATAGGATGGATATTGGTTGTAATTGGCAAGTGGTGTAGCTTAAAAGCAGGCATATTCTGCCCGATTTTTACCCAGAAAACCGATTGAAGTCGATTGAAAATCTCATTGTTGTTCCAGAAATTCAAAATTTCTGACCGAGTTCAGTCGGAAATTTCAAATGAATTATGCAGAATCTTGAAATTTCCGACCGAAGTCGGTCGAAAATGACTTTTTAAATTTATTTATTTTTTTAGTATACGGACCGATTTTGGTCGATTTATTACAATTTAAAAATAATTATAAAATTATAATATATTTAAAATTTCTACTGATGTCGGTCGCTATTTGAAAAATAAAAAAATTAATTTAATTAATACTGACCGATTTCGGTCGGTATATTTATCCCTATTGTCAGTCAACGCGTTGAAATAACCGACTATTTTCGGTCGGAAAATTTCAACCGATTTCGGTTGTAACACCTTAGCGACCATTATGTTTTTGACTAGGAAATCGGTCGCTTTTCCTCAAATTCCGTCCCATATCGGTCGATTTTCTTGGACGAAATTAGGCAATTTTCTAGTAGTGTTATTTCATAAACTAAAACATCTGTATATGGCGTATCTCCTTATTAATCCTTGTTGGGAGGGGTGTTCAAACCGAACCAGAAAGTCGTACCAAACTGAAAAGTCAAACCAAACCGATTAAAAAACCCGATTATGTTTGGTTTGATTTGATTTGGTATTGAGTAAAAAAAACTCAAACCAAACCAACATAAAAATATATTATTTTTATATATACTTTTAAGATTTTATATAAATTTTTCTTCAAAAATGTCTAGAAATATTTGAGATCCTCTCATGGTTAATATTTAATAGAACTATGAAGTGCATTCATTTTTATTTACTTTAAATAATGGATTGTATCACTTTCTTATCAAGTATTTTTAAAATGCGTCAATCATCTCTTTGTTCTTCATATTCATATGTCAAGATTTCTTATATCTTTTTAAAAAATTTATGGTATTTAGATAATTGAAAAATAAATAGAACATATCATTATTTAGGTATCATATAGATTTTAATGTTTAATTATTAAATTCGATTAACCTTGAAAGTGTACATCAACGAAAATTTATTGTTAGATGACTAAGAAAATAACTATCATGTGATACTAAAAATATTCTCCCTTAAGAATATTTTAATAGATCATATGTTGTCAAATTTTTAAACTTTTACTAAACATATAATCACTTATCAAAATTGTATTTATAACTTTAACAAAGTAAGTGTAACGACCCGGCCGGTCGTTTTGAGCGTATTAGCCGCGATCTCCTATTTACTGCATTCCCCGTATCTGTTTCTGCTTATGTGACTTGTCGGGAGGTCTTGTTTTGGTTTCGGAGTGTTTTGGGACACTTAGTCCCTAAAACGGAAGCTTAAGTCTCAGAATTTTGACCATAGTCGGAAGTGTGTGAAGCCAACTCCGGAATGGAGTTCTGTCGGTTCAGTTAGCTTTGTTGGGTGATTTTGGACTTAGAAGCGTGTACGGACTGTGAATTCGAGGTCTGTAGCTTATTTAGGCTTGAAATGGATAAAGACAAATTTTCAGAAGTTTGACTGAGGGGTGACTTTTTGATATCGGGGTCGGATTACGATTTCAGAAGTTGGATTAGGTCCGAAATGTTGAATATGACTTGTGTGTAAAATTTGAGGTCAATCGGGCGTGGTTTGATATTATTCGGCATCGTTTGTAGAATTCAGAGGTTTAGAAGTTCTTTAGGCTTGAATCTGGGTGTAATCGGTGTTTTGGTGTTGTTTTGAGTGATTCGAAGGTTCGACTAAGTTCGTATTGGGTTATATGACTTGTTGGAATATTTTGTTGAGGTCTCGGGGGCCTCTGGTAGATTTCGAGCGGTTAACGGACTTGATTTTTGAGTTGATGAAGCAGCTAAAGAGCTGCTTCTACTGGTGTAACTGCACCTGCGAAGTGGGCACCGCAGGTGCGAGCACACAGAAGCGTGGCATGAATCGCAGATGCAAGAAAGGCCATGAAGGACAGGGGTCGCAGGTGCGAAGAATTTCCCGCACCTACGGTAGCGCAGATGCGGACAAGTGGACACAGGTGCGGGGGCAGCTAGGTTAGAGTGACTCCGCAGAAGCGAGGCCAGGGCCGTAGATGCGCGTTTGCAAGTGTGGAACCTGGAGTGCATGTGCGGGGCCTGGAGGTGCAAGTGACTTCCGCAGAAGCGACATTTTCACCGCAGATACGGCGTCGCATGTACGATAATAGGTCCGCAGATGCGAAAAGTCTGGGCAGAAGGTTTAAAAGCAAGGGTTCGCGATTTTAGTCTTATTTCAATATTTTGGACTCAGACTTAGGCGATATTGGAGAAGATTTACGAGGTGATTATTGAGGTAAGCTTCTTGTACTTATTTTGGATCATAAAACTAGTTTCCCCACTGATTTCCCCCACCTAATTAGTGAAATTTTGAAGTGAAATTTGGGGGTTTAGGGCTTGAGAATTGGAGAGTGAATTTTAGGGATTTGGATGACCAAATGGTGTCGCATTTTGATAAATTTAGTATGGTTAGACTCGTGACTGAATGGCTTTTCGGGTTTTGTGACTTTTGTCGGATTTCAAGGCGTGGGTCCGGGGGCTTAGTCGAGCGTATTTCGGATTTTGGCTTATAATTTTGTATTTTTCTTGTGGAATTGATTCCTTTAGCCTATATTGATTATATCGTACTACTTGTGGCTAGATTCGGGGCGTTAGGAGACTGATTCGAGGGGCAAAGGCATTTTGGAGTAGGATTTGCTCGGTTTGAGGTAAGTAACGCTTTCAAACTTGGTTCTGAGGGTTTGAAACCCTGAACTATGTGCTATACGATTGATATTGAGGTGACGCACATGCCAAGTGATGGGTGTGCGAGCGTGCACCATGAGAATTGTGGCATGGTTGAAACCATGGCACTGTATAGTGACTTTATTTTGTTGATATCCGTGTTTTGATCATGTGATAAAGTAATTGAGCTGTCCATCATGCTAGATATCATGTTTAGGCTTTATGCCAGTACTATTGGGACCCCTAGTGGTTGTTTCTTGCTGTCATCTCACTGATTTCATTGATATTATGTACTCAGTCATGTTCATGCATTTCATATCACATCTACGTCTCAGTTTTTATTTATTGATACATCATATCATTGTTTCGGGTTAGTTTTCATGATATTGTGAGCCTGTGAGTGAGACTGGAGAGATTGATGACTGAGTGAGGCTGAGAGCCTGATTATGAGTGACAGTTATGGGATCGGGATGCACGCCGCAGCGGTTATACTGATTTTACGATAGCGCATGGGTTGTAGGAGCCCCTCTGGAGTCTGTAACACACCCCTAGTGAGCGCGGTTGATATTATTGAGGGATGGATCTTCCCCGGACATGGATCTTGTCTGGAGTACTTGATACCTGGAGATGGACCTTCTCCACGGGGCTGGATTGACCTTTCTCGGTACTGGGTGACTTATAGTCAGTGATGTATATGTTCCGGGATAGATCTTCCCTGGGCCGTATGGGCCATATACAGTACCGAGTGGTTGAGCATTCGAGAGTGTAAGCACATGAGGCTAACAGCATGGTGCATCACATACAGCATGTGTATTGGCATGTAGAGATAGCAGAGTTATATTCTTTACATTGTTCGGATATGCCTCACTTTACTGTTTTGAGTTGCCTATTTAATTTGAAAGCATGCCTACTTTTCTGTTCAGTTATTTCTATTTTATCTGTATCGGTTGAGTTCGTCACTACCTTTCAGTCCAAAGTTTGGACTTGTTACTTACTGAGTTGGATGTACTCACGTTACTCCCTGCACCTCGTGTGCAGATCCATGCGTTTTTGGTCACGGCGGCGGTCACTAGTTGTATTTTCAGTTTATTTCTCTAGACACTGTAGTGGACTGTATTCTGATTTAGACGCTCATGTACTCTATGACACCACGGTTTTGGGATGGATTGTATTGTATTTTGGATATTTCTGTTTTCAAAAAGGTTTTTCTAAATTATTAAATTGCTTATGTGTTTATGTTCAAAGATTTTTCTGTGTTGAGATGTTGAGTTGTGGCTTGCCTAGTTTCACGATAGGTGCCATTACGACGGTTAGATTTTTGGGTCGTGACAGTAAGAATGAAATAATATTCACATAATAAAAAAATTCAAAAAACTCGTAAAATCCGACAAAACCGAACCAACCCGGTCCATGTACAACCCTAATTGGTGGTTAGAAAATTTAGCAGACCAGATTTTGCAATCTCAATTGGACAGTTGAAGCATCAATCCCTAATCTCGTTATTTTCACCTACAACCATAAGATAACAAGAAAGGCATTGTTTAGTTGCTAAATTTAACTAGCTACATTTTCCATCATCTTTCATACTAATAATAAACTCATAAATGAATTACCTGAGCGTGGATTGTATAGAAAACCTTATCGCAAATTGTTGAAAAATGAGCAGTAACAACTTGAGCTCCTCCTTCCTCTAAGATGTTTATAACTTCTTGCATTGTGAAGTACTTCTTTTTCAAACCACTAATTAAAATTACCTCTAGAGTTGAACCCAACTCTCTAACTTCAACCGCAGGTGTTTCTAAAGTACAAGTTGTCATTACTTTCTTTGAATACCTACTTCTTTCACCTGTGCCTTGTGCTACGAGCTCGTCCTTCCTTCTCTTTAATACCTCTACTCTTTCTTTTAATTGCTCAATGTAAGTAATAGCTTGATCAACTTGGTCTTGTTGTGAAAGCATCTCCTGAAATTGTTTCTCTAGGAAGTCAGGAAAAATATAACAACCTACATATCTTTAAGGAAAACAAAAAGGGAAAGTTGATTTACCGAACAAGATTATATTTTATGCATTGAGTCACACTACGAATAATATTGAAACCATATTTAAGGTTCGAGGCTATAGTTGTCTTAAGATATTGAGCCAATGCAACACAACTTTTAAACAAGCTAATAGGCATTAAAAGAAACTCAAAGAACTTCTATTTGACAGCCGAATTTCAATCGGTGAGTTTGAGCAAGAATCGGGTATAAAATTCATCAAATATATGAACTTTTTCTAACGAGCTAGTTTGTACAAATTAGGAGTATTAAATAACACCTCTCATCACATGTAAAAACGAGTACTAAGGTAACTAGGCATTTTCTTAATTGATTTTCCTCGTAATGCAAAAGCAAATTAAAGGTTGTACTACTTCATCCCTACCGTGTGGTCCAAGAAAGGCTACGGAGTCAAAGTGCGAACCTAGTTTAAGCGAATAGCAGCAATAATTGCACAACTGAATCTGAAAAATGTACATTAATAGCAAGCTTTTAAAATCTCTAAAGTTAAAAGGCCCTCAAAATCTGAGAATTAAAGAACCGTGAGATCCCGAAAATCCCCATCAAAAGGACTTGGTTTTGAATTGAGGTTCAGCAGCTCTCGACCGTGCCAGGATTATAGCATCTAAGGTTCACTCTTTATTTGCAGTTAATTTCACTTTTGTTTCTTTTTCGCAAGAGGACTCATGAAGTATACTTTTAGTATGATATTTTTGTGGATTTGATTTTATTTAAACACAAAAAGAAGTACTAAAAGGAAAAAGAAGAGGACATTTTCTCCTCTCACTTAACCACCACATGCACTTGATACGGTGCAAACAATCATAAAAACATAATCATATATAAGATCAGAATATACAAAGATGAGTGAGAGAGAGAGAGAGATAGGGTTTAACGTACGCACCGTAGAGGGTTTGAAGTGGTGGGGAGGAATGAGAGAACTAAGCTTAGAACAAAGAAACTTCATATAGATTCTTCTGTTCCTTTCCACTGTTTTCCTATCAGGCTTTTCTGTACTGATAATGCTTCTTTCCATTTGAATTAATATTGTTGGTCACTCTCTTCTTAAGCAAATCTGGTTTTGCAGTAACCAAACCAGAAAGTTTTGATTAAAGTATTAATAAAGGAGATGAAGGGTATTATTTATAAAGGGAAAAGAGGGGAGGAATTATCAAAATTTGAACGTCACTGTTTATGAAACTAAAAGAGTAAGTGTCAACGTCATTATACATGGGGAGTGAGATGAATACTTTGACTTTTACCTGTCCCACCGCGCTAATAAAATGTGCAACCGCATAGTACTCTCAGAATACTTATAATTAAGAAAGAAAAACTCCTTTTTGTTTCCTTCTAATTTTTATGTTTTTTTAAGTATCGCTCGTGTTTAAAATATAGGTTATGAAAAAGTTGATTTTTGTAATAAGAAATTTCTCACGTGGGCATGTACCTGTGGCAAAATTATGATATGGCAATGACATGTCATTTTCCAACGCTGAAATTTTGACTTTCTAGTGTTTTGTATTTTATGGGCTACTAATACATAGTTTACTGATTTAACTATTATAAAAACTAATTTTATGACTTTAGTATTACAAATAGTTAGTTTAGTGAATTTGCTGTTACAAAAAATAGTTTAATAACTTTAGCATTACAAAGAATAAATTTGATGATCACCTGTGAAATTAACCCCTTACATTTATGTTCCACCCACCTCATTTTATAGTCTTTTTTGAATTATATATACATGTACATATCCCTCGTATTCCAACTCCACCTCCTTCTTCGTACGTGTAAAATAATTTCTACCATAGCGCTTTTAAAGTTTCAAATGCTGAAATAATTAATTAAACGGTTTTGGCTTCTCACTGTAATTAAGTTTTAGTTTTGCTCTCATTATTTTGTCCAAAAGCCGAAGCACTACCGCACACTCTTTATGTTTGGTTCACAGACTAATTATGTAGGAATTATAATATAAAAGTTATCTATGCAGTTGATATAATGTAGGATTTGTTAGGGTGATTTGGTAAGTAAGAATTAATATGTCGTGAGTGCTTAGTTTAAAGACTTTTTGGTCTTTAGTTACTCTTATCCATGAATTGTTAATACGAATTCTCTTATCCCACATAAAATAATAGATTCCCGAATCAAACGACTGTAAGATTAAAAAAATTTAGAATCTTTTTTTAATTACTGGAATAGTTATAACAAAAAACCAAATATGTTGCTTGTGTTGTGATAGGTTCATGTTTACCCTTAAAAATGAGTAACAATTAAATTTGTACGTAGTTTAAATGATACGTGATTTAATTCAGTACGAATGATATGAGAACATCAAATAATTAGATTAGAGGGAATAGACAATCAAACCAATCGTAATGGAATAATCAAGCTTGGTCTTAAGTTGAACACTGAAATTCGGCCTCGATCAAACCATTGATATGGGCTCGGTTGCATTAAATAAGAGAGTAACTTAAGAACACTTTGGATAATAGCTAGAAGACAAAAATGAACTTTTATTGATTTGATATGCGTGTTAACAGTGTGTCAGAATGAAAATATTCTTTCCTTTATATAGTAGGGGAATTTCAACTCTAGTACAAGTCTAAATAAGATAAAAAAAAAAATTCGATAAATGTCGATCCGCAGTTGATATCGGATAGGATTTGCACTGTAACATCCGGTTGATGGCAAATATCACGGCTCCTTACTTTTCATACTCAACCGTTAACTTTTTCCCACGATCTCGAAACGTTACTTGGCCCGAATTTGTTGTTTAGCCGTGCCCGATCCCAGATACTACATTCAACCCTCCCGAGCTCTGATACAAGCGACACTTCGGCTTCATTTGATGTTGTGTTGGACCATGCTTCCCTCTCGTCTCTTTATTAGGAAATTAGGGGTAACATAGTCCCCGATTTTACTCGAACACAGATAGTCCCTTCACTTTTCGAATAGGAGATTTATCGAAGCAACGAGAAGTGAATAATTCACCCCGGTTCCTTCTTCTGTACGCTACAACCGATTCGGCGGGTCAGTGAAACGTCCTATCAGTCATGTCATTCTGATTCGGACACGTGTCAATCGCCGGTTGACCGTCCTCGAATGTGAAACGAAACGTCATGCATTACTTATTTCTTCTCTATAGATGCTTCGGTCCTTTTTTCAATTTTTTACTTTCCGATTCCATAACTCCTCAGTTTACCCTCGAACTTTTTCACTTGCTTTTAACCTCTTCAAATCTTCATACATTGTTCTTCATACCTTCATATATTCATCTTACTATCTTCAAATCTTAATACTTCATTCTTGAACCTTTAAGTTTGACCTTCAAATATTCATCCTCATCTTCAACTTTTCATACTCGCCTTCATATATTCATATTTCCCATAACTAAATGGCGAAGACATCAAAATCCGTACCTCAACAGACCGTCCCTTCAACTTCTAACCCGACCATAGATGTTGAGGTAGCCCTACCTGAATTGGCCCTGGAACCTCCTCTGAAGAACTTTATCCCCGGAGGCTGCTCTATAGAAAATGACTTCAAGGTCAAAAAAGCTTCCAGTCAACAAGATCGGGGCGGGGAGGAATGGAGGTACTGTCACGCCCCAAACTTGGGGAGGCGTGACTGGCACCCGGTGCCATACTGGCCTGAAGGAACCACTCTGTAACTTATTTTTTGTAACTATCATGGGCCAACATGGCCACAACTCGTAATGCATAACTATAAGTGAGCAAACACTGTATAAATGAACCATCGTTCATAAAATATGAATACATATGGGCCGTCAAGGCCTCTGACATACTATACAAAATGAACAGTTGTCTACAAAGCCTCTAAGATTATTTGACATCAAATGGGATAGGGTACCGTCCTACCCATAAGTCTATAGCAAAACTCTAACACGATGACTTATAGACTCGGCTGCACTCCGAATGAAGTGGAGTCTTACCGATCCTTCGTTGAATACCAACCTCGTCTACTATGAGGGCTCGTCAAACTGATTATCTATACCTGCAGGCATGAATGCAGCGTCCACAACAAAAGGACGTCAGTACGAATAATGTACCGAGTATGTAAGGTAGAACTGAAACATAACAATAATTCAACATTAATTAAAGAGATATAAGAATTAACTTGAGTCTCTGTATATGCGTACTTATTATACTTATATATAATGCTTCTCTTTGAGACTATTATCCATATCGTATGATGCATGATTGCCTAACTGATCAGTGGTAACTACTCGACCGGCCGTAGCGTGGTGGTAAATACATGACTGTCCGACCGGCCGTAGCTCGGTGGTAAATGTATAACTGCCCAACCGACCGTAGCTCAGTAAATGCATGACTACCCGACCGGCCATAGCTCGGTGGTAAATGTATAACTGCCCAACCGGCCGTAGCTCGGTGGTAAATGTATAACTGCCCAACCGGCCGTAGCTCGATGGTAAATGATGATGCATATAGTACCATTACGAACATTAACATCTTTATCAAATACCTCAATAGGGAACTAGATACATACTTAGACATGCTTGAATATCATTTTACAGGAATGAATAACGTAGACTTTCTTAGTTACTAAGAGTAGAACCACTTATAGAACAACATTACGTTTACGTTTCGTTACTTGGATCATGCCAAAATAATGAAGGATTAGCCTTAACATACCTGAATTGACTCTCTTAGAATCCCTCTAACACACGTTAATTGCGGCAAAACATGTAACGGCAGATCGAAGTAGGGGAAAATTCGTATGATATTCTTGAGAAAGATTATATCGTGCTCTGTTAGACTTTGTAATTCACGTTGCATCTTGTAGGAGTTCATAAGGATTCCTTCTGAGAATTCCATCCCTTGCTTAGAAAGCATTACGTATCTCAGTTTGTGAATTGTTGAGCTTCACTCTTTACTTAGCAAATCTTAGCATCCGTTACTACAAGAAAGGAAATTAATAGATGTCGTACCATATTTTGCTTCCTTGATAGCTTTCTTCAACTAAATGAGATAAAGTGCAAATAAGATAAGGAAATATTGTCGCCATCTCCTTAAGCATAAGAATAGGTGCCAATTTGCTGCCACATTCCCATAGCCCCACGTGGATTGTTGTCCCCTTAATAATTATCCAAAATCCTACGTAAAAATGCATAATTACTCAATTATCCCTACAATTAAGAATTATCTAAAATTGCTTAGAATACTACTTACTTTTAACACACTTTATACACCTTACTATCATGGTCATGTAGTACCTTGTATGGCACTAGTCCTGTTACAACCCAAATTCGCATATCATAGATCACGCCGTAAGGTAGTCGACGTAAATACAAGAAGAGATTATCTTTGAGATGATAATAAGTTAATCCTATTGGTCTTAAACGATACAAGGGTGTATAAGAGTGGTTAACAAGTATTTGAAGTTAAGCTAATCAAGGATGTTGTAACCCGTATTTTCGGATAACACTAGAGGTGATTAACTGTCCCAAGAGGTCTTGTTTTAATGTATTTGAATCATATAATATCCGCATCATAAGTCTTGAAGTCAAGCGAGTTATGAAATAAAAGTCGATAAAAGTTGTCGCAACTTAGGTTTATAATTTTACTTAAACTTTAGGTCAAATGTTACTGCATTTTACTCCCAATGTGCTTGGAATTATGGGGTGATCTACC